ATTTCTGCAGCGTTTCGTTGATAGCGATTACGGTCTTTTCAAATTTTGACATTATCTAATCTGAACGCATATGCCTTAAATACATAAATGATTGAAGAACCTTTCTCGGTTATCAACGTAAAAATTATAATAAAATGGAAATTTATTCCAGCGGATTAATTTCGATAGCTATAGATATAAGTAATGTCTGATACAAATTAATCATATTTATCGTATACATTTATTATAAGCTTGTCGACGTAACGCAGCTGCAGTTCCGAAACAGATATATTCTCTTTCGACTCATCGGATAAATGTGTATAGCAATCTATCATGATATTTTGTGGTTTAGATTATCGGCAAGTTAATTCGTATGTCATCGATCCGTCTTGCTCATATATGTTTCCAACCGGATGTTGTAAAGAGCGCGGCGCGAGCCGCCCCAACTTCGAGGGGGAACGTCGTACAAACAATTCCGCCGGCCTCGTATTCGATCGCTTTGGAAAATGGTGTTTCTAATTACGGACGTTCTAAATTTGGAATGTAACCCTAGAACGCAATGGCACGTCAAATAAATACACCGTATTCTTCGTGGCTAAATTACTTCATGCAATATTCATTATACCTAACTCTTCCGTGTGTGCCTTAAATTAAAATTATATAACTATCGTAACTCACGAAATTGTCGTAAGGCATTACCGTCATTGAGAAAGTAGAGTTAATATTAGGGAGAGGGAGAACAGTCCTTTCGATAATTACAAAATCGATAAAAATGACCGCGGATATAAAATGAACGCACCGAGCGTTTGTCGCGATGTTAACTCGCAGTTTCATTTTACACGTGTCATCCCACGTAGCAGAAATTGTTGCTACTATGGCTTTGTAATTGGGAAATATCTAAAATTTCATTTAATTTAATTAAAAAAATGGAGCATTTATAATAGAATTCCAATTCATGATACTCGCGAGTTATTAATATTTTTAAATGCTTACGAAAAATGTTCGGTGATTGCATTTGATGTTCATAAGAACATTTACATTTTTTTATTTTATTTAAAAACCGTATGTTATATTCTTTACTGTGAGAAAATAATGTAAAGAAAATGTTGTTAACTAAACTTAAAACTGAAACGTAAGTTTAAGATATGATCAAACTGACGCTAATCTATTTTCACTTGAAAAATATTGTACGTGTCAATTTATCCGCGAAGTTATCCGATTTTGGAATGTTACACTGCCGCAGGTTGCCCCTTATCTCTCCTGAGCATCAAAAGTCGAGACGACAGGTGACAGCGGTTAGACGCGTTACCGGATATATACCGCTGGGGTATCATGAACATCCATTTCGATCCGCGCGCGATTTTCCTTTAGAACAGAAAATAACCTGGCAGATCTCAGCCGGTCCTTTTTTTCTTACCAGTCCTGACAGCCACAAACGCGACGTTTCTCTCGCAGTGTAATTCGCCAAATGAATTTCGCTGATATGCAAAATTAAGGCAAAATTGTGCTGTCGCCCGGTCGTTTCATTTCCAGGAACGAGAGAGGAAGAGAGACATAAGGAGGAGGTTTCAAGTAATAAAGTTTAACGAATTCGCGTGTGAATTAACAATCTGCCTGAACGTAAAGTCGGAGCGCAAAATGAAATCTTGGGGGCCCTAAAACGCGTTATAGTAATACAGACATACATGCGTGAGGACGGCTCTAATATATACATCCTATATAATTAGATCTTCTGTTCTAGGGTTATATCCGAGAAAAGAGATAGTCCTCGAGAACAGCACACACTCTCCAAATTTAATTAAGCCTCATCTCGAGCGGAGTGTTCTCCAACATTGTAACGACGATTCTTGTTGTTTGAAATTACTTACGCCTTATATACTTGTAGATTAATTAGATGTCAGGTTATCTGCACGTAAAACATTGACGAATAAAACGATACTTGTCTTTCCTATAAATTTTACGCGCAACTACTGGAAATCGAACAAAAACTATTTATTATCCTGACTGCGATGCAATAAATCGTGGATTGCATATGTGTGTGTATGTGCGCGCTTAAATGCAGGTTTTACTACGTGTACTGCAATTTGTTTCATATAACGCCGTGCACCTGCAGTTCTATTTTACACTACACATGGCACAGCGCATGGATCTGCAAAGGTAGCAGAAAACGAAGTTAACATGTAAATTGACTCTGCTATAGTTCTGATCTTTATCCGTGCCATCAATTAGAGCTTTGATATTTTTTTTTGCAAATAATAGAAAAATGTTGAAATTATATTTTATTTACTTACACATTACAATTTCCATTTGCTATTTTTTTCATTTAGAAAAATCCAGAATTATTATTTTGAGAGAGAAATATGTATTTTTTTAATTATACGAAAAAAAGAATTTTTGTAATAACGGCAGATATAAATTCTTCTTTAGCTACCTAAATTAATAATAATATTAAATTAATAATAAGGTAATATTGATCACAAAGAATAAATTGCTTAAAGTTGATTTAGATAGATAAAAAGTTGAATAAAGTTTGTCGGACGTGAATTAACGAGATTGTCAAGAATGATATAAAGTCAATCCTTATACGTAATTCAGCCAGTCGAAATGGTGAGCCGTTATCTTGGATTTTGCAGTAATTGATATTGGCGTTGAGTTACGGTGACTGACATTGACACTGAGTCGCTGTAACTAACATTGACACTGTCACTCGCAATTCACAATTGAATCTGCAAAATTTAGTTTCACGCCTTCATTTAAATTTCACGCATAATTTTACTTGCGATAATTTTATCGCGCTGAATATACTGCTATATATTTTTAGCTGTACGTTAACTCACTCAAATTGAGAGAGTCGCGGGACTTATCGAATTTAAATATTCGATGCCAATTTTGTAAAACTTTAATCAATCGTTAATCAACCGTGCCGATGTATTGGCAAACATTGTTAAAACTTTATTGTTTATTTTTAGCAATCTAATTTAATTTTTATTTTAATTTAAAACGTTTTGACTCTCTTCACAATCCACCTTTTTTTTTTTATTTCGAGAAAAATATATTCGGAAGAGAGCTGTAAATACATATATGCCCGTAGTTTCTTTCTACACGAAGACCCGTGGGGAGCCCTTTGAAAAAGAAGGAACGCGGAAGCGCCGTGATATTTTCCTGGATGGCTGCATGTGTGCCAGCCTGTGCATGTTTTCGGACACTTTTACGCCGATACCGAAGCTACGGGCCCGTGAAATCGGACCGGAGCGCGCGCTCGCTCACACGTGAGAGCGCGCTCCCCGATAATCACGCGCTTTAATTTTGGAAAATCTCTATACGATCGCTTTGCGGGGCTAATGATGTGTACGGGGAGGGGGGGGGGAGAAGGGCGTGGGAGAGCGGCCGTTTAAGGTGTAAACTCTCGTGAACCGCATTTCGCGTATTATCTCTCGCCGCCGGGGTGGAATTCAACCGAGTCCGCTTTGTTTGCGATCTAATGCGATCGAATACACGCGGCTCTTCGGCAGCGCTGCTGCATGTTTTGCCGTTAGCCAACGCGTACCTCGCTTCCAACGTGCACTTTAATAACACATTTATCGCGAAAATCTGTTTTCTCAGTAAGTATATTGAACTGTACAATCGCATCAGTACGTGTCTTTGCGAAAAGTTTAGATGAAACAAAATGACCTGACAAAATTGGATATCTGTTTCGTTGGAAAGTAATGAAAGTTTGAGTCGAACGATGCATTTTTTTTTTCTAAAGTTGCAGCGCGCAGACGATGAGAAAATCTATTACCATTATATCGTTGAAACTTAAAATCAGTTTTTTTCCGGAAGTTGCTTCGATTGAATTGATACTTGAAACTTGATATTACATTTTAACAATTACAAGATTTCACACAGCAGTTGATGATGTTACAGCAATCACTCGTAATTTTATGCATTTGTTACGCAATTTAATTTCTTTAATTGTTAAAGTACTTGCCTTTTTGTTCTATTTTTTTTCTCATTGTTCCTGAAAGTAATAATGGCTGTTCGTATAGTCAAATGAGCATAGCCGTTAGTTACAACCAAAAATTGCGTGTCACGAGAGACGAAAGGAAAAGAGAGAGGGATATAAAATGAAAGAGATGAAAAGGAGATAACGCCTAACGGAAAAAAAAAGCTTTTTTTTTCCAACTTTCATGCAAATCCGCGGCCTGTAATTGCCGGCGGGCGAACGAAATCTGCGCTCTCGTTCTCTCTTCCGTTCGAAACAGGGTGGCTGCGACAGCCGGATCTGCCGGCCGTGTTTGCCTCGTTTGTCTTCCGATTTGGCTGGCTGTGATCAATGACGAAGGAAAATCTGTCGTTTTCACATGGCGACAAAATCTGTCGAGCCGTGGAAACACCGTGAATCTTCGGGCGTAGTGATGGGCGCCTATTATCAGCAGCGCTCGTCGACAATACGTATTGTTTCTTTAGGTGCGGAACGCGTAATTCGGCGGAATTTCCGGCAATTTAATTCTCCGATACGCGCGCATTATTCGGCCTTTAGCAATCAGACTTTTATATTCTCTATTCAGCGTCTGCACGTTAAAGAAATAACATTCATGATCAATATCTCGATATTTTTTTCCTCTCTGTTTTCCTTTTTTTCCTTTTTCGTCGCACGCGCACAAATATTTCCAAATAAGATAGGATTTGTCCTCCTATACGAGGCTTTGAGGCTTTCAACATATCCAGTATTCCGAGAGCTTCGACGAGAATTTCTCGACTGAATCGTATTCGTCTTCTTCAAACGATAAATGCTGGGTACATCGGAAGACGGCGCGGCGCGCGGCGGATGCCTCAATGCCTTGTACGTATGTACGTGTACCAGCGGGGGGTGGTTGGCGGGGGCTGGTTTCAAGTTTCGAACACTCGTGAGTCGGGACGAATGTTTCCCTCATGGAAGATTAACGATTGGTGGAGGAGGGAGGGGAGGAAGGGAGGAACGCGCCACTTCTCTTGCCTTACGGTGTTCTATAAAAGTTCTCTCCTTTTGTGTGTTTCAGAATTTACGCTCGATCCTTCTGGCGCTCGACACATCGGTAAGTCGTGCAATTTTAACAACTTCTTTCCTTAGGACGCGACGTTACTCTGTCAACGGTACAGCGGCCCGGTGTGGCATTACAGGATTGGACGATCCACCGTGCGAGATGCGCGGAATATTTAAAGACATAAAAGATGTATGATCCATTATTTCAAGAGCCTATATACTCATATCCGTAATGGATTATGTTGGAAAGTTACAAATGCGAGTAATATTTCTGCTCTTCTCTATATATAACGTGTAAGATAAGTATTGAATGATGTGTTTGTTGAGGAAAGAAAATTTAAGTTCCATCACAACAAATTACTAAATATTTCCTATATATTTTTTTTTCTTCGTTTTTTTTTCCTTTTAACGAGGCCGTGTATTTCGATGGGGAATGTGTTGCACGAAAAAGCTGTATATGATCGAGTAACTCGGCGGAGAAAACGCCAATTTCAGCCGTACACGTGATTGCGTATTGTTCGCGGTATTGGCAGCCGGAAGGCTTACCTCAGGTTCGATGACTGATCGATGCGTATATCGATTAGCGTTCGACGCTCTCAGATCGCTTTTTAGCGTTCGATTTGAAATTTAAATCAACACGACACACAGGGCAACATATGACGCACATTGACATACACGAGCGTATAGAAACACGTCTGGCCCGGCGCGCGCTTGCGTCGGGTCATCCCGAATTCCGGCCGGATCGATCGAAAGTGCATAACATCGATGCAGATATTATCACGGTCGCGACGTTGACTACGTTACATTTGAACGCGGCGGTAAATTTCAGTATGCCGCGTGGCTGAGAGGCAGCGAATTCCCCATTCAGCATTCGTCGCGACTCCTCTCGATTATACGAATGACCATGGCGATTTCAATGTCGACGCCTCATCATGAAATATCCTCGTGATAATATACGAGTTTTGTGTTATTCGAACAATTTGGTCGAGTGATATTAATCTTATCGAATTGCATTAATATTTATAAATGGAAGGATTTTACACGTGCAACAGATTATACCTACGTCATTATTAACAGGTCATATTCATATGGTTGGAAACGAGATTCTCTCATTTTCTCGATTATCATAGAAGTTTTAGGATGATAAATTCAAATATAATAAAAAGCTAATGCGCAAGAAAATTGAAAGGATATTTGGAAGACATTAATTGATATAAGACTTTTCTCAATTAAGAAAAGAATTTTTCTTAATTATCGTTCAACTTCGAAGCTTATTTTGTTGAAAATTAAATTTTTATTTTTTTTAATATTTTTAAATTCTATTAATTTAAAAATTATTGATGCAATTTTATTAAGCATTTTTATTAAGAAGAAACTTATATTTATTTCACAATCAGTTAAAGAAACGCGTCTTTTAATATGGATGCATTCAAAAATTATCTCGCATATTTAACGTGCGTTTTCTGTTCACAAAGAAATACTACGAAATCACTACAAACAGCACATTTTTATCGTGTTATAGTTTTGTAGTTTGACAAAAAAATCTTATTTTCGCGAATCACTGTGGAAAAAATTTAGTTTGCACTATGCGATCTCTCCCTTTCTCTTACTTTCTCTCTCTTTCTCTCTTATACTCTCTTCGTAAATGTGCATTCCCGTGTGCATCAACGGCAACGTATGCGGCGCTATAGGCAGGACTTCCGATGCGCTTTTCCGACTACGTGACGTCCGGACATCCGACATCTGCGACGTACTGCCAACACGTTGTTGTTGCCACCAGGACGGACGCGACAGCTAACCGCGGAATTATTATTGCGAGCGAGTGTAACGCCTACCTGCAAGCCTGCGGAGCCCGAACAGCGTGGTGAACGTGTATAGGCATTATTAACCGATCTCCCCGTAGTCATGGCAGCTTCGCCGCGCGGCTCGATACCGGGCAAGATTACTCGCGCGATAGGAAAACATACTTCATCGAGGATGAACGGTTCACGCGCAGCTATACACCCACAAGCACACGAGTATGCATCAATATATGTTATAGCATGTAATATCTTGTCCGTGCAATACAGCATATAGCTCGTGGCTGTTATCATAAATATACTAGTTATACACGAGACGATTATTAGAAATTGTTTAACTCGCAGCCGAAGGGAATAAAAATTATCATTTAAAACGGAGGAATATTGAGATGATTTAAATCAATGAAAACGCGACAGATTATTTGCAGATTAAAGGACGATAAAATATACAACATAAAAAGGCACTTTTTTCAGTTAATTCAATTTAAATCAATTGAATTTGAAATAATCGCGCAAAAGCTTTCGTCCGTGCAGCGCGATTTAATATAAATGTCTCATAATGACATGGAGGACGGGTGGGTTAAAAATGTTTCAGCTTTGCAGAAGATCAATCGGTACATGGAGTTCAACGAGTCGATTTGATTTCTGGCATTGTGCGGTATAATTCCGCGGGTTGCATCGAGCCAGATGAACGAAGTTATCGGATAGGTCGGTTATACGAGGAGGTTGAGGCGGGAATGTCCCGATATTTGCGGAAAGCTGGCAAAGTTTCCCTCTCGCAGTGGTAATATAGCGTCTGCGAAAATCGATATTCGATAATCACGAAATTCCAGAGAGGCTTGCGGCGTCGTCTTTTCTTGCGAGTTTTGCCGCAAGATATTAAAAAGGGCGAAAAAAGAACGGAGTTGTTCGCAAATTGAAGAGCTTGGCGCGATTTAATGTAAAACGCACGATTTGATGTGGGTTAGTCAGTTATTAAATATAACCGCGTCTACTTATACCTCTTCTTAGCATGATGATTTATTATTTTGAAATCGATCGATTTTGATATCAAAAATAAATTGAGGGAGAGAGAGAGAGAGAGAGAGAGAGAGAGAATTTCATTACCTTTGCTATAAATAACTTATTGATATCCGCTCTTATATTTGAGATTGCCTTAAATTTAGTCACGAAATATTATACTATTTATACGATTTATACAATTATATTTCATTTCATATATACCATTTATACGATTATATTTCATATTTAGCAAGATGAAGCCAATCTAATATCAAACTTAAATCGATCTTAAATATAAAATTGGATTATCAATATCGTTTTAAGCACACAACAAAGAAGGAAAGAGTTATATCTCATAAAAAGTTCAATTTTGCGGTTGCATCCCTTGTACATTTTCTTTGAAGGAGTTATTTTTATTTTTATTTTTATTTTCAAAAATATTTTTAGAACAAGCGTATTATTTATTTTAATTAAGTTACTACTCGTTTATATCTCGTTTAATTCTCCCTTTACTAAATCTCACTGGTGTTCTCTAATTCGAAATTGCGGCATTTACTTAACGAATACGCGCATTTAGTTATACACATACATATATATATATATACAGAAGTGGTTTGCTAGAATAATATTTCTCTATGACAGAGTAGTACCTGAGCGAAATGTTTACATAATGGTACTTTACTCGGTAAAATAGTTTACGTAGGTACACTTTCCTAAAATGGGCGAATGTTTTTTTAGTTACGGATTCTTTAAAATAGATACAAAATCTATTTTTTCTTCAACGATAATGTCAAGGTAGAGTAAGTGAAAATATAAAGACGCCGCGTGATAAATAATCTCTCTCTTGTGATTTTCATTAAAAACAATCTTTAAAGTAATTAAACAATCAACGATCAAAGGAACGAGAAGTTGCAACGAGAATAAAAGTTATTTATAATTATTCTAAAATTAAAAATATGTTATTAGGATTTAACAATGATTTATACGTATTTTGTATAAAAATACTTCAATTTCATTATTTCTACAATATTATTGTCAACATTAAAAAAATTATAATATTGCTATCAATTTTCAACAATATTGTTTTTTCTAAATTTTTTTATTCTTGCTATTTGTCGATACATGTTTTTCTTATGATTGCGCAAAATTCTATGCATCTTCTAGCACATTGACGGGCAAGCAGTAGATTCGCTTCGGGCTTATTTGTACTAAAAATTTTATAGAAGCGCGGTTTGCGGTTTTCATTCTTTCGCGAATGCAAAGAACATAAACCGTGCCGCGTTAGTATACATGTACACATCGAAGTAATAAGGTCGTTGCTACGCGCGTTTTATCGTTCCTGTTCGCGTTATTTCTGTTTCGTCGCAAACGGAAGCACGCTTGGTTAAGACGACTTACTTTGTTTCTCTATATTCGAACGAGACAGCAGAAGCTGAGCCTGTACCATATTGGTTTCTCAAGAGGGGAAAAGTTTGATTAAAGACCGTTGCTTGAGATACATTTCTTCTAAAATTATTCGAGAGTAATTAATTAAGATAAGAAGCTGTAGTTTTTCGCCGATTAAAGAGAAAAATTACTTTTATTTAATACTACGTGTACAACAATAAATCTCTCATTTATTTTACAAAAAATAAGATATATATGTGTTGCTATTAACATGATTAAGGGGTCTCACCACTCTTTAAATTTTTTGGAGTGACTTTTCACTTTTTTGGAGTGAGTCTCACTCCAAAAGAGTGAAAATACTGCCACTCAAGTAGCAGTATTTTCAATCTTTTGGAGTGAGATTCACTCCAGAAAATTTAGAGAGCACCTCTGAGGCTTTAAACTGATACCTTAAGTTTTTTTGTGGGTAAATGGATAACTTTAAAATCTGCTTAGAGGACATTATTGTACATATATAAGAAACCAAAAAAATATTTTTTCATTTTTCTTATGTCCAAAATGGCGGCGCACTGGCTTACACTTGCGGAATCCTTTTTTTCTATCGGTGTACAGGATTCCAGACACACGGTTTGGTCTTGAACAAATCATAAAGAATTTTCATTATCTACATATTAAAGATTAGAGAAGTACGTAGGGATTTTTCAAAATATTGATTTTTCTCAAAATGGCAGCTATTTTACGAGAGACTTGTATTGACAAAAATACGAAATTTTCGTAAAAATAGCTGCTATTTAGAAAAAAATCAATATTTTGAAAAACCCCTACGTATTTCTATAGTCTTTAATATGTAGATAATGAAAATTCG